GGTCGGGGTCTCTTAGCCGCTAAGGAGCGGGGCTGCAGCCCCTGCAGCTGGGCTTCCCACTCTGACAGGCGCCATTTTACCGCCCAAAGGGCTCCCTCCTCCCGTCTTCCCTCCTCCTCTTCCCCTCTGACAGTACTTCCGGTAGTGACGTGTATTCACTTCCCTGGGATTGATGGTCCCTCAACTGGTTCCAATGAGGGAGGGTAGAGTTAAGGAAAGCAGAGAGCCCACAACAGGGATGCAGCGTTGCGCACGCGCGCAAGGTTACTGCGGGGCGGGACCTGGGGCGAAGCCTCTATTGGTGTGGGCGGGGCTCGTGACGTCATTTATTCCCAGGTTCGGATCCTCCGGGGAGCGGGGCTCGTGCGGCCCCTGTCCCCGTCCCACTGACAACTGTTCCAACGGCCCTTCTCGCCCTTGTCATAGTCCAAGATCAGACTGAGGATGTCATCTCTACGACTGCGTACAGAGGCTCTGGAGCGTCCCCTCCGAGTGACCCCCCTGAGAACACTGAACATAAGAAGGAAAGAAAGAAAAAGAAAAAAACAGACCCCCCTCCCCCCTGGTTCCAGACCTGGCGGACTTTTAATGGTGGAAGCAATCGTAAGAGCTCCGCCTCCTTGGCCATGACGACATCAGAAGGCGACCGAAGGCGTCCGAGATGCTGGACTCGCTGTTGGCCGTCGGCGGCTTGGTGCTTCTTCGAGGTGAGGAATAGGGGCACGCGGGGGCCCCTCGGACCTGGCTGAAGGGGAGGAAGTCTTGGGCACCCGCCGGGGATACCTGGCTAGGGGTGGAAGTCGCGGTGGATTATGAAGTGGGAGACTAAGGGCTTGGCTCTCCACAGATTCCGTGGAATGTGAGGGGCGCAGTCTACTAAAGGCTCTCATCAAGAAATCTGCACTTCGGTGAGTTATCCCTCAGCTTCCCCAGATCCTTCCCAGGAAGGGAGTTGGTGTCCCCACTCTTCAACATATTCCCCTCATCTCTACTTTAGTGGGGAGCAGATCCACGTCCTGGGCTGTGAAGTGAGTGAAGAAGAGTTTCGCGAAGGTTTTGGCCCTGATATCAACAGCCGGTAAGTATAAGTTAGAACGAGTTTCATTCGGACCACAGTTGGTCAGCGGCGTCTTTTCAACGGGAGCACAGGATCTCGATTGTGTGGAAATGGGATTGTATGACTTGGAACAGTAGGAATTACAAACACGACTAGCAGGGTTCTGGAGACTAGCTCCAGCTGGCTGACTTGACTGGAGACAAAGGGACACAACCCTGAGGGAAAGGAACATCATGAGGGTGTTGCCCACTGAACAAAAGAGATTTTCCTGTACATAAGCATTCTGGCTTTAGTGTTTGCAAGTTAATAAGAAACTGCAGCTTCTCCTATAGATAATGCCATCGTCTTTCATAAATGTCCTTGGAATTGCTTTGTTCTGGGCCTTATTATAAGGCTCAGGACTATGGATGCTAGAATTGAATTGAAAACACAAGACAAGATAAAAGTATACTAACTCCAAAGTGTAATAGGCTAAATTAAACTTTGAACAAAACTTTTTTCCTTTTTATTTTTTTCTTCCTCAGAAAAGGACATTTGGTTATTTAAAAATATATATATGATCTCATTATGTGGCCTAGGCTGCCTTGCAATGGACTGTGTAGCCCACTATAGCCTCCAACTCTCCTCAATCAATCCTGTCTCACCCTCTGGTGTGCTATCATTATGTTACAAGCCACATCTAATTATACTATGTCTTTAGTAAAACAATGGTATAAGGCCACTGTGGCAATACACACCTGTAA